AGCAAGAGCAGAGGGGAGAGGGAGAAGGGAGAGGCAGAGGGAGAAGAAGCAGGCTCTCTGCTGAGCAGGGAGCCCGGCATGGGGCTTGATCCTAGGACCCCCGGATCATGACCCGAGCCTAAGGCAGATGCTTAACTGACTGAGCCACCCAGGCACCCCACTAATAGAATTTTCTAATGTGTGTGTTTTTGAAGGGGAGAGGGAGAGAGAGAGACAGAGGAGAGGGAGAGAAAGACAGAGAGGAGAGAAATCAAGAATGAATGTAAGGTTTTTGCATGAGCTGAAAGAATGGGGTTGCCATTTATTGAGAAGGGGGAAGAATGTGGAAAGGGCAGCATTATGGGGGCAAATCAGAAATCTGATTTGGAATATGTTAACTTGGAGATGCCTTTTAGAACTCCAAACTGAGATGTTAAGAAGTCAGTTAGATACACAAATCTTGAGTGTAAGGACAAGTTTTAGGCAGAGTTAATATGTATAGAGTGCTTAAAACAGTGCCTTGGATGTCCTTTTAAACAAAGTCATGACTCTCTTATTCAAAACTCTCCAGTAACTCTTCAGTTTATTCAGAGACAAAGCCAAATCTTTACAGTGTGCCGACAAAGCTCTCTGTAATCTGCCTAGCCCCACCCCCAAATTCTTCTGCTTTGGTGATGGTAGTGCTATAGCTGCTTAACAAATAAACTCCACAGTACCAGGGGCTTAACATAATTGAAGTTTATTTCTTGCTCACAAAACAGTCCAGTGTGAGTGTGCCTGGATGGCTCAGTTGTTGGGCGTCTGCCTTCGGCTCAGGTCATGGTCCCGGGGTCCTGGGTTTGAGCCCCGCATCTGGCTCCCTGCTCCGCGGGAAGTCTGCTTCTCCCTCTCCCGCTCCCCCTACTTGTGTTCCCTCTCTCTCTGTGTCTCTCTCTGTCAAATAAATAAATAAAATCTTTTAAAAAAATAAAAAACAAAACAAAACAAAACAGTCCAGTGTGGGTATTCTTGGTCAGCTGGAGCCTTTCCTCTATGTGCTTGTTTCGGAGATCCAGGCTCCTTCTGTCTTCTGTTTCACCATTCCTTAGAACCTCAGAATCCTCTACTTCTAGCTGGTGGAAGGCATAAAAGAGAGAGAGAAGCCTTATTTGCTTCTTAAATACCCTGACCCAGCAGTGACACACATAAATTCCTGCACACATTCCATTGGTGAGAACTAGTCACGTGGCCACATCTAGATGCAAGTGGGACTGGAAAAAGTTGCCATGACCAGACAGCTGCTTCCTAGGGACAACTCCACACACTGTGGAAGGAGAAACATTTTTTGGTGAACTACAAGCTAAATCCACCACACCTTCTACAATCTTCTACCACTCCTCCCACCCCAGCCCTTTGTAGCTGCCCTAGCCTTCTTATAACTCCTTGAGCACTCTAGGCACACTTCGGCTTCATGCCCTTTCCTGGAATTACCTTCCCTCAAATGTCCTCTTGCTCTCTCTCATGTCCTTCATCGTGAGATGGGTGCCCCAATATGCCACTTATTAAGAGTATATCATGTCCCAGATATATGAAAGTCCTTTTTCCTTTGATTTTTTTTAAAGATTTTTATTTATTTATTTAACAGAGATAGAGAGCACAAGTAGGCAGAGCGGCAGACAGAGGGAGAGGGAGAAGCAGGCTCTCCGCCAAGCAGGGAGCCCTATACGGGGCTCGATCCCAGGACCCTGGGATTATGACCTGAGCCGAAGGCAGACACTTAACCGACTGAGCCACCCAGGCACCCCTCCATTGATTTTTAAAAATTAATTTAACAGGGGCGCCTGGGTGGCTCAGTCATTAAGCGTCTGCCTTCAGCTCAGGTCATGATCCCAGACTCCTGGGATCGAGCCCCGCATCAGGCTCCCTGCTTAGGAGAAAACCTGCTTTCTCTCTCCCACTCCCCGTTTGTGTTCTCGCTGTCTCTCTCTGTCAAATAAATAAATAAATAAAATCTTTAAAAAAAAAATTAATTTAACAGGGACACCTGGGTGGCTCAGTCGGTTAAGCGTCTGCCTTCGGCTCAGGTCATGATCCCAGGGTCCTGGGATGAGTCCCGCATAGGGCTCCCTGCTTAGTGGGGAGCCTGCTTCTCCCTCTGCCTGCTTGTGCTCATTCTGTCTCTCTCTCTGACAAATAAATACATAAAATCTTTAAAAAAATTAATTTAACAATTTTCTTTTAAAGATTTTATGTATTTATTTGACAGAGAGATAGAGAGAGAGCACAAGTAGGCAGAGAGGGAGGCAGAGGGAGAGGGAGAAGCAGGCTCCCCACCGAGCAGGGAGCCTGATGTGGGGCTCGATCCCAGGGCCCTGGGATCATGACCTGAGCCGAAGGCAGCCACTTAACTGACTGAGCCACCCAGGTGTCCCTAATTTAACAATTTTCAAAGCAATCTTGTGAAAGGTAATAATGATTATTCTTATTCCAGAGAGGTTAACTTATGTGCCTCAGCTCACACAGCTATTTAAACACTAAATCTACAGAGCATCCGGTTCTGTTTTCTCTCTGACTCTCAAAAGAAGCAATCACTTTGCCAAACATACTTCCTACTGGGAAGGAGATCACTTTATGGTTGAGTATTCTGGGCCTCTGAGCAGTTACATTTCCCAGGGCAAATCAATACAGTTGGGCTTTTGTTTCAAACTTGTGTTTTATGGGTTGAGTTAAGGTGAGAGATCTCCCAGTACCTGCTTGCCCTGGATGCATCGGATAAAAAGTCTCTGGACTTTCAAACTGAGGACTTTTAAGTCTTTTTCAAGTCTCTTCTTCCATATCACCCCCAGTGGTCATTTTAAGATGTCGGTCAGATCTTATCATTCCCCAGCTCAAATTCCTCTAAGTTACCACCCCTGACACACACTCTACAGGATAAATTCTCTGGCCTGGCGTATGAAGCCTTTTCTGCTCTGTCCCTCTCCTCTTTCCCTGGTTTTATCCCCTTTTAATTCTCCATTTCACATAGAAATGAATTACTTGCTGTTGCCTGAATGTACCATTTTAATCACTCCCTGAATGTACCATTTAATCACTCCCGGTTGTCACCCATGCTTTCTGAAACATCTTTTTTCTCTCCCTTTTTATTTGAGAAATTTCTCTGATCCTTTGGAACTCACGTTGGATTACACTGTCTTCTGGAAGCATTCCCTGACCATCTCCCAACATGGGGAGATGCCCCAGATGCTCTATAATTATTTAGCTCTCTGAGCCCCTCTACTGTCTCTGTGTCCCCAACATACAGGATGGAGTGGGGCATCATCCTGAATAGGCTTTGTGAACCTACCTTCTCCTCCCCACTTTTTTTTTTTTTTTTTTTAGCCCAATGCAGGGCTTAAACTCACGACCCTGAGATCAAGACCGGAACTGAGATCAAGACCTGAGCTGAGATCAATAGTTGGATGCTAACCAACTCTGCCACCCAGGTGCCTCTTTCCCTCTCCTTTTTGTCCCATCAGTTCAGGCAGGTTACATACAGGGAGGGGCAGGTGCTATGGTTCCCAGTGATGTTGGTTGTGACCTCCAGGCCCCCCTCCCCAAGGGAACCAGTGCTTGCGAGAAGTACCCAGGAGAAAACCCATGGTTGGCCCTTGGGGAAACCAGCTGCTTTCCAGAGTCCTTAGTGGCAGCCTGCCAAAGCAAACCTCTTGCTGGAATAAAAATTAAAAAAAAATTATTATTATTTATAATAATATGGAATGCCATCTATGTTCCAGGCACCATTATGACCATTTTACCAGTTTGCACATTTATCTTATGTAATCTTCACAAAAATATGACTGCTGGCACCTGGAGAGTGCCCAAGGTCGCATAGTAAATGACAAAGTCAGGATTCAAATCTGAGCATTCTGTTTCTAGAGCCCATGATAGTAACCATCATACTATATTGCCTTCCTGACTTCTGATCTCCAGTTTCCTGCCTATCTTCTGTGGGAAACCAAATCAGAGGGTCCCAAGACAAGGGCTAGGAAGCAAGTTTCTCCACTTTCTCTCAGGAGGACCGGCTCAGAGATGGATCTGAAAATTCTCAGAAGTGGAAGGGGAGCTCCTAAGTGGCCTGAGCCTCTGGAGGCTCCAGGAGAGAAGAGGGGACAGTCTGGTGCATGGGAAAAGACCTACCTGGGGCGGTGAGTGAGGAAGCTGGGAGCTGACCAGGAGGAGCCCAGAATTCTCGTCCGGGGTTTGTCTCTTAGAGTCTATATAGTCCTTGTTTCTTTCTAAGCCTTAGTTTCCCCATTTGTAAAAAAAAAGGTAAATATGGGACTGGCTGATCCACCCTCGCCAAAAAAGGGGGCATCTTCAGCTCTCCTGAGGAAAGGGCAGGGCACAGAAGCCAAGGTGCAGGGGCTGAGGGAAAGAGCTATCTGGGGTCTAGGTCTAGCCTGGAGATGGGACGAGGTGGGCTGCCGAGCTCAGTCCTGTGACCCCATCCCTGTGACAGGGCCGGGTTAATGAGACGTCGGGACCTCCAGTGTGAGGAGTAGGTGGGGGACAGAACATGGACCAGGGTCTCAGCTCTGCGGCATGCGCCCACTCATCCCTCACCTCCTTATCCTCTCAAAAGGAGTCGCAGCCTCGAGGGGGTGGCGGTTGCGGCTGGCCGGGCAGTGGCTGGCCGCGTTGCGGCGGCCGCCTGGGAAGCTGCGGCCCTTCGGGCACGAAGAGCATCACGTCATCCTTTCCGCCAGGCGCCCGCCCCCTCCCCGACGGCGCCTGCGCAGGCGCGGCGGGAGGGGGTCGCGGTGGGGGCTCTCCTCCGCGCTTTCCGCCCTTCTCCAGGCTCTCTCGGGTCGCGGCGCTCTCGGCTGGCGGCGGCGGCGGCGCGGAGAGGAAGACGTCCAGGATGCGGCGCGGGGCGGCCCGGTGCCCCCCTGCCCCGTCACGGCAGCCGCGGCGGCCGCGGGGACCGGGCCAGGGCCGGGGGCGGTGGCCCGACCCGCGGTAGCGGCGGCGGCGGCGGGAGGGGCGGCCTGAGGGCGGGCGGGCGCCCTGGTGCGGGGGCTCCGTGCTCCGCACGGCCCGGCCCGGCTCGGCCCCGGCGCCATGAGCGGCGGCGGCGGCGGAGGGGGCTCGGCGCCCAGTCGTTTCGCCGACTACTTTGTCATCTGCGGGCTGGACACCGAGACCGGGCTGGAGCCGGACGAGCTGTCGGGTGAGTGCGCGCGGAGCCCGGGGCTGCTTCCCTGCGCCCGGTGCGGCCGGGGACCCTTGAGGAAACCTCCCCGCTTTGTCCCGGGAGCTGGGCGAGGGTCGGTGCGCAGGACCCACGGCTGGCGCGGGGGAAGGGGGCGTCGGGCTGGAGGTGGGGAAGCGGGATGAGGGGTTCTGAGTCGGGAGGGGTCCGAACGGCCCCTACTCCCCTCTGCGCTGTGGTCCTGTAGTAGGGGACCAGGAGGAGGGGGAAGCGTTGTGGGTTCTATCTGGCGACTTAGTACAAGATGAAGGTAAGCCTGTTGTCGAACACCCGCTAGTGAGGGAAGAAGGTATCCCACATCTCAGTTGAAAGTAAGTTCCACCCAGACTTAACAACAAGGAGAGCAAAACAGAAACTTGTGAGTTTTTCTGGCCTCTTCCCAAGAAGCCAGTTCCTCAAAACCGTTTTAACTCAGCCCTGGGCTGGGCCCCCTGGTTTGATAGGACATGAAGTAATAAAGTGAACTTGAGCCACAACAAGAAGGGTGAGAACTCTCTTAGTTCCAGAAAGGGCCTGTACCACGGGGCCATGCCTCTTTTTATGAAAAGTAATTGGTGGCTGTTAGGAGACCACCTTCATTCGTGAGTAAAAGGGGAGATTCTTGGTTGGGTAGTGATGCGTCTCAAGTCATCTTTCAAAGGGGAAGTGGTAGGAAAGTGAAGATGGGGCCCAGATCAAATTTGACAAGAATTGAAAAAGATAATTGTAAAATCCCCATGAATTCCACTGCACTGTCATTGGAGCCTTTGAATTGCAACAGTTTTGAAAAAGTTTTTGTCTGGAGTGTCCAGTTTGCAGGTTTCATGTGCGCGGAGGTTTGTTGTATCATCCTGATTTGATGAGGGATCTTCCTTTCCAGTGTTTTGTCATGATGTAGTCACCAAAGTTTCCTGAAAGTGATTATGCTATTGACTAATTTTACCTTGCTTCGGAGATAATAGGACAGGGTTTTTGTTTTTTGTTACCAGAGAAATTCCAGTGTTTCTTATAAAAAAAAATTTAGGTGCATACTTCAAATGACAATAGACCATCTTTTAAAAAACATGATAAATTGGTGACCTTTAACAAGGTCAGAACAAATACACTATTTTCTCAAATTAATACCAGATGGAGAAAAAGAATCATGAAGCAGTAATGCTCTTAATACTAGGCCTTTTGTTGGGGCAACATTATTGTTTCAAGATCACTTTTTTAGGTCTTCAAATTCTTATAATACAGATGTTAGTTTTTCATCTGTGTTTCATATTTATTAAATTTGTGACTTTGTGATGTAATTGTTGGAATTCAGTTCATAATGTTGGAGCTGGAAGAGACCTCAGAGAGGAAAATGAGCCCCAGGAAGGACAGTAGGGCCTACATTCTGTTAATTGCCTGACTTTTGGTTCAGTGCTCTTCTCTTACACTGAACTGCATCACATTGCCTGGTTGGGTCTTCAGAAAACATTAACATGTTGAGAAAGACTAAAAATAACACAGTTATTAATTTAACCCAGTAAAAGAAACTTTAAAGTGGTGGCCCTACACAAGTGTTTTTTTTTTTTTTTATGCTGTGCTTTTGAGTGTCTACTAAATTATATAGAAATTTGATTTTAGGGATGCATGGGTGGCTCATTCGGGTAAGCGTCTGCCTTTGGCTCAGATCATGATCCCAAGGTCCTGGGATCCAGTCCCACATCCGGCTCCTTGCTCAGCGGGGAGCCTGCTTCTCCCTCTGCCTGGCACTCCCCCTGCCTGTAGTCCCTCTCTCTGACAAATAAATAAAATCTTAAAAAAAAGAAATTTGATTTTAGAAAATAAAGAGAATGGTTTGCAAATGGTAAAGCATAAGAATGAAGCTGGGAAGTGATGTGTTAGTGAGAGCATGGGTTTTGCAGTTAAACATTACCCTCTGCAGTATGTTGGCTATCCCTGTGACTATGGGGCAAGTTAGATAACTCTGCTGGGATCTTCATCTATAAAAAACGGAATGTAAGTAAAAAGCATTTCATCAAGTAGACACTCAAAAATGTTACTTTTCTTTTAGTGAATATCTGTTAATTATCTGCTTTTTCAGCAAGCTAAAATTATATCCCTGTGAAAGCTTATTGGGAGAATAAAGAAAGGGGGAATCAATTGTATAAAATGTGTGAAGAAAGAGTATTTTTTCTGTCTTTTTAAATGTGGTTGCAGTAGTGGAATGCCAAGACCATTTATTCAGTAGGTGGCCTTTGTTCGAATGGGCACTGATTGAAGGGTTTCTTTTTTTCCTTCATTTCATTTCTGGTGAGTTGGTAGGGGAATCTGGACTACCCAGGGGGAATCTAAATAAAATAAAACCAGAATACAAATAGCTTTATGCAGGTCAGTCTTGAGACTCTCCAGGGTGCGTTTTCTCTCCATAGCTGGCCTTATAGCTCTCAAACTGATGATGTCATAATAAGTCAAACTATAAGAAATTGAGAATTGCACCCAGGTCTTTAGGGAGGTACTGAGGAGTCTTAAGTTCTCTCTATGCAAATTAAATTCTATACTTCAGATAACTTCTATACCCTTACAAAGCGAATCCAGAACAGGCAAATCGAAGACACTTACTTGTTCCTTCTAGTTTTGTGGAGAAGGATTAAGATTCATTCTCATGTTGCAACAAGAAGCATAGAGCTTGCTGTGTTGAATATAAACTCAAATCACTGGATTGTATAGGAGTCTCTCCCTGCCACTTCCCCTTTCTTTCATAAGTAAGTAATTAGGCAAGTCATATGCTTATTTGTTGTGCAAGGAACTGAGGAAGGTATGAAAATTGTTTTCAGGTTAGTTGAAGTATTTTGGGTTGGAGGGGGAGGTGATCAATGAATGAATCATAAGTTTAGCCAACTTTAGGAAATAGTGTCTGCTTGTTAGCTTTTTGAGCTTGTCAGAGAGATAAGCAAACCTGTAAGAATTGTCTTTATGTTTTCCATTCCTGTTGGCCCATCCTAAGTGAGGAGGCAGATGGTAGTAGAGTCCAGTCCCTCTTTACCCCTTTGATGCATGAATGTCCTGGGTATCTTAGTTTCCCCTTTTTCTTCTTGTGGTCGCCACCAGTGACTGCAGGAGAAGGCTTACTGTGAGATGGGATTCCTGAGTTTAACTTTCCCTGTCTCTGCCTGAGAATAAAGGTTCCAGAATACTTGTGACCTATTTCTTGCTTTGGAATCTTTTTAAGTTCCTCTGAACTGACCTGCACCTAGCGTTGAGATGTAAGTATTGGTTCATGCATCCGCTACTCCAGTTTTCCCAGGTTCTGAGCAGAGGGCCTTGCCAAGAATTGAACAGAAGGGCTTGGGGCCATAGATAGGAGACTGGCCAGTGTCCTGTATGAGTCTATTTAGAATACTGAGAATATACTGAAATCATCTCTTAATATCAGAAGAGAGAAAAAAATGCTTACTGACTAGAAAAGTCAGAGGACTGGTGAGATCATATTCCTCCTTAACCATATTGAGCAGTGAATTTAGAACCTAAAATTCATGGCATGTCAAATGTGGAAGCACTCTTCAAGAGATTATATAAACTTCTGATTTTACAGATGAAGAAACTGAGGCCATGAGAAGGTTGGAGAATATTTTTCTCCCTTGTCACATGTTATTCTTCTTTTCTGCTATTTGAGTGATGCTTTGCAGTAATCCGTTTGAGTAGAGGGGACAAGTAAAATATTTGTTTGGCAGGGGCAGGAGCAGACATTATGGCAGTTTTTCTAGTGCAGGTTTCTGTTTCATATTAGGGAAGAATACTATGTGTGATTTTCATGAGGGATATCTTGTTTTTTTTAGCTTTTTCTTTTCATATAATTTCACACTGAACATTGACATGAATAGTACAAAGAACTTCAGTACATCCTTTTTCCAGATTCACTGATTAACATTCTGCTCCATTTATTTTATCACTTGTATGTGTATGTTCTTTCTTATATATACCTATATATAGACAACTTCATTGTGATGAAATTCATATACCATATAATTCACATATTTAAAGTGTACAGTTTAGTGGTTTTTAGTATATTTACAGAGTTGTGCAGTCATCAGTATAGTCACTTTTAGAATATATTCGTTACCCCCCTCCCCCTGCCCAAGACCCATACCCATTAACAGTCACTCCCCCTTTCCTTCCAACTCTGTAACCCTCCTCAGCCCTAGGCAACCACTAATCTATTTTTGATCTCTATAGATTTGCTTGTTCTGGACATTTCATAAAATGGAGTCCTATAGGGTCTTTGTGACTGGCTTTTTTCATTTAGCACATTTTCAAGGTTCATCCATGTTGAAGCATTTATCAGTATGTTATTTCTTTTTATGGCTGAATAATATTCTTTTGTAGGAATATACCACATTTTATTTATCCATCAATTGATAGACATTGGGTTGTTTATACTTTTTGATTACTATGAATAATGCTGCTGGGAACATTGTGTACATTTTTTTTTTAAGATTTTATTTATTTATTTGAGAGAGAGAGTGAGAGAGCACAAGCAGGGGGATGGCAGAGGGAGAGGGAGAAGCAGGCTTCCCACTGAGCAGGGAGCCTGATGTGGGGCTCCATCTCAGGACCTTGGGATCATGACCCGAGCTAAAGGCAGACGCTTAACCAAATGAGCCACCCAGATGCCCCTGTACACGTTTTTGTGTGGAGATACCTTTGCATTTCTCTTGGGTACATACCTAGGAGTGGAATTGCTGTGTCATATGGCAACTGTGTTTAATAACCTTTTGAGAAATTGCCAGACCGTTTTCCAGTACAACTATACTGGTTTACATTCCCACTAGCAGTGTATGAAGGAAGGTTCCACTTTCTCCATGTCCTTGCCAACGCTTATTAACTTTATTTTTGATTATAGGCGTCCTAGTGGGTGTGAATATATATCATTGTGGTTTTGATTTTCATATCCCTGATGGCTAAGAAGGATATCTTATATAAAAGAAAGAAAAAGAGGCTATCTCTTT